CACAGAGTGCTGCAAATCTATCAGCGAACAGCATGTTTTCCACCTGTTGAGGCAGCAACCACAGTAACAGATGCACATAATAATTACCTGTACCTCAAAGGCAGCACCAAGTCCTGCACCTTCTGCTCCCCACCTTGCAGGCAGCTTGATAACAGAATTACAAAAGAGGAGCACCGAGAGAGTAGAGTAGGTAGTGCTTTGTGAAGAATGAAAGAAGAGCTCTTATTAAAGAGGAACTGGAAGGTGGAACATGAGAAGGAAAGATCTGAGGCACCATGACGCTGAAATAAGAGTGGAGCTAAGGAACTCCAGGAGCCTGCCTTATTTTTAGAGTGGTGGTCAGGTTTTTGCTAATACCTTTTCTAAGGCTGCTCTCATTTGTACTCTTAACATCAGAGGTAATTTCTACTGATAAATAGGTGCCCTACACACCTACCGGAGCCCACTCGTAGATGCATGTCCCTGCAGTGGCAAGAGTAGCACATGCCCCTGCAGGGTAAGGGGCTCATCTCAGTAAGTGATACCATGAACGACCGTGACTGTGTGCCAGGACCCTGTTCCCCTTCCCCTCCCTGCTGCCTGGCACTGGGAGTGCGCTGGAGCTACGCTACCCTTTTATTCACAAGTGCCCCAGAGCATCTGGTGTGAGGAGAAGTGCTGGGGACCGTACGGGGAGCATGGGTACACAGCAGGTGAAACACCTTCGGTCTTTGCTGCTGAAGTGCTGAGGCTTGTGAGGCTCTTTTTCTCCCCTTCCTCTGCCCACCAGGAGGAAAGAGGTGAGGTTTGGCTGGTGAGGACTCCCAGAGCTCAGACCACATGAGCTCTGGGGTGGTTTGTGCCATGATAGTCCCTCACTTGCAGGAAGGAACAGATCCTTCCTAGCAGGGATTTGCAAGGGAAGGGAGTGATCTCAGCCCCGATTTAATCTTGACAGAAGCAGATGATGAGAAGACTGTGTGCTGAGTTGGAGTTTTCCTTTGAATTCCTACGGTGTTGAAGGCAGTGCTATAAATAGACACAGTATCCTTTTTACCCTGGTACAATTCTGTCTCCAGCTCCCCATATAGACAGCGAGTCTGCTGGTAAGCATTTAGCAGGAATTAATTTAACCCAGTCTTCTCTTTCTGAACTCTTTTACTCCAAGCATCCCGATGGCTTCCACAGCCACACAAACGTGTTTCCTCAATAAAAATGTTCTGAGGAAGGATGTTGATATTAAAAATCCCATTTCTGTCTGAAAATTCTACCCTAGTTATAAATAATCCACAGAATCACAGAATCACAGAATGGTTAGGGTTGGAAGGGACCTCTGGAGATCATCTAGTCCAATCCCCAAACTATAAAGAACTTAAAAAAAAAAAAAAAAGTGGGGGGGGGATTCCGCCTCACCCCCCTCTCAAATTTCTTAATTCCCTCCCCCCCCCATTTTTGTTTTTGAACTGCACAGCATCTTATTCATAGTCTGTTTCACATTTTCTCCAGTGTAACTGGCTGGCTACTTTCTCCCTTCCCAGGAAAGGCTCTTGTGAACATCAGCTGGGAAGGAAACTCAGATAACAGTGTTTCATGGCTATTATCTCAGAGATAGATCTGTAAGAAATTTAAATACAAGCCGGGCTGGTATTTAACAAAACAAACCTCTTGAATTTAAGCATATTTTTCAGTGAGGGATCCTTAGCCTGGGAATCCAGCTGGAAAGCAAACTAGAATTTCACAAATGTTAGAGTTTCTGAGTACGACAGCAGAGAGGATAATCTGGCCTAGCTCTGCAGTTGTCTCGCCGCTTGCGGAGCGGGCTGTGGTTAAGTTCATGCTGCTCAGTACGTGTATTGAGTTCACTGGGGGTTGGTTTGTAAACAAGCTTAAAAGTACTTGCCTGGTAGTCGAAGCTCCCGCGCTGCGGTGTCTTGGATTACCTTTGTTTGAATAATACCACTTAGTTTCCTCCTAATGTGCCAGTTGCACAAGAGATTTCTAGCCTCTCTGCGTTCAGCTTATTTCAAAGTCTATTTTTGATTGTGTTAATTATAAACCATAATCCCCTACCCTCTTTGGACCTGCAGCCATCAGCCAGAGCGAGGCAACTGGAGGGCAGCAGCGGCAGGAGGCTGAGTTTTGAAAGAGGCCGTTTGTCAGATGGCGTCAGTAGATGTGTCCCGGCCAGCCCTGCTGGGGCTGCGCTGGTTGACACTGGGCAGGCCAGCGCTGGGGTTTGCAGCAGAGATGTGAATGGCGGTGGGCTGGTTGGGGGTTACCGCAGCTACCTGGGGTTTCACCCTGTGCGCTTGTTGGAGGGACAGTTGTGGTTTACCCCAGATGTGCGCAGCTGGGGGGTAGCTGTTGGTAGGCAGTTGGGGTTCATCCTGGAACAGGTTGTGGAGTCTCCTTCTCTGGAGATGCTCAAAACCCACCTGGACGCGTTCCTGTCCAACCCGCTGTAGGTGACCCTGCTTTGGCAGGGGGGGTGGACTAGGTGACCTCCGAAGGTC